CATCGTCGACGTTATGGTCATACAAAAAAAACACCATAGCAGCAGCAGTACCAGCATCATCGGTATCAACATCAGCAGCATCATGATCTATGTATGGCTCTTCTCCTGCATCCCCATGATCCTAACTGGCATCAACGTTACCATCACCGTCGTAGTCGGCATCGTCACCGTCGTCGTTATCGGCATCATCAGCAGTATCGCCACCACCAATAACAGCATGCAGCATCATCATAATCAGATTCCTCTGCATTTTCCTGGTGCCGCCGAGCCCTTTCGCGCGCCGAACGCCTGCGGGGCGTTCTCGGGCCCGAGCTCTGCTGCCGCTTTCTCGCATGGGCAGCAGTGGCGTGGCGGTGTTCCGCAGAGGCAGCGGCTTCGGGAGGAGGGGGGCTTTGCAACTTGCGAGGCTCGGAGGCCTGTCGAAAACGAACCGTGCTACGGGGCGACTAGCAAAGTCCCAACTTCCCCAGCGGGCGCTAGACGCCCGTTTCCCAAACACTCAGCACAAGCGCCCTGCTGGTAGGGAGGGGCCCCATTCAGGCCCCAGCGGCAAAACATGCGGGAATCGCCCCCGTCGGAGGAGGATGGGAATGGGGCGGAGCGGGGAGAGAATGCAGAATGGAGGAGGGGAGAGAGATGGGATGAGGGAGGAGAACAGAGGAAAGAGGGAGGGAGGGAGGGGAAGATGAAGGCCAGGGAGGCGGGGGGATGGAGGGGCGGCAAGGATCTGGAGGGGAGGGGAGGTCCCGAGGGAGCTGGAGCCGCGGCGCAGCGCCGGACCTGGAAGCCTAAGATGCTTGAAAGACGAGCAGACCACGCCCGTGCCAACAGCACCGTTTACCAGCCTCGAGCTTATCCCCATCCCCAAGATGGGCAAGCCAAAGGCGCTGACAATCTCAGGGATGTGCCCTCAGAAACCTAGAGGATCCTGAAGATCGGGTCCGAGGCAAGGTGATGCCAAGCATCGGGATAGGGATACGCTTCAAACTAGTAAACCATCACCTGAGCGACGACCAGAAACGGGTCTTACGCGAGATGTCGTAGCGACCTTACGCAGCAGCTCACGCAGCCCGACAGCGCGACACGCCCCATCGGAGACGAGGACGCTCACGCGCGGCCTTACACGTGCAGCTTGCGCGCGAACGTCGACGCGGGCGACCCCGTTCTCTTCCGTCGCTCACCTGGAGGTGCTCGACTGTGAGACTGCCTTGAAACATGCGACGCCTGTACCATGTCCGAGAGTCTGTATCGCAGAAGATACGCGGGCAGGTGAAGCCTGTATCACGCCCGAAAATCCAGCACACGCTGCTCACCTGAACCCCACTTCGCCCCCTCACATTCACCAGGATCCGCCTCCCCATGTCCACGCGTTTCCTCCTGCCTCTCCTCTCCTCGCCCCCCACCCCACCCGTCCTTCCCCAGTCTCCTGAGGAGCAACACTAGGAGGGGGACTGACATAGAGGGGGAACCATCGACCTGGAATCGGCGACACATCACCGATTGATCGGCGATAGGCCCCCGATAGCGAAATCACACCGTCCTGGGCGGGCTGGGGCCATCAGGCCCCCTATCGGCTATCAGTGGATGCTTGGGGCCCCTTACCGGCTATCAGAAGACGATTGAGGGTCGAGGCCCAGACCTCCACAATTACTCAATATGAAAATACTCTCCCACTTCCCCTGATGGCGGTTGGGTGATCGCCGACCTCCCCCGCGTACTGTTTTTTACACACAGGATTCCCGGGAAACGGGTTTTCGCCTGCGTTTTTTTCCCAAAATGCTGCTCTCGCTGAGGCGCCGGCCTCATTTCTGCTCCCGAATCGTTCCGAATCGTGCTGCCGCTGCAGCGTGGGCCTCATTTTCGAATCGGTGTTTGGCCTCCGTCGTTCAGGATGGCGTTCTCGCCCCAGCGCGGGCCTCTTTCTCGCGCGCCCATCCGCCCGCCACCACCGCGCCGCCACCACCACCACCACCACCACCACCACCACCACCACAACAACCACCACCCACCCACCACAGCACCACCACCACCACCACCACCACCACTACCACCACCACCACCACCACCACCACCACCACCACCACACGACAACCACGCACACAACGCACGCACGCACGCACGCGCACACCACCCACTACGCACGCGCGCGCGGCGCCACAGGTCCGCTACGACACGCGTCCGCGGATAGAGAAAATCAGCGCCATGATAAGGGATGGGAGGGAGGGGTAGGACGTCAGATATGACGCGAGCGCACCTAGCTTGTCCCCCTCCCCCTCCCTCCTCCTCCCCCGACCCCCCCCCCCGGGTCAGATACGACGCCCCCCCTGGGACTCCTCTTCCCCTGGGCCCCAGCCAAGCCGACCTTGAGCAACCTCGTAATTGAGTCGAAGGGAAGCCCCTTCCCTTTGATCCCTCCCCCGCCGGGAGGGGGGGGGGGGTAGCGACCCCCCCCCCCGGGTCAGATACGACGCCCCCCCCTGGGACTCCTCTTCCCCTGGGC